CACTCTGGGGAGGCCAATCTTTTGCGAGGCGAGGCCAATCCGAAATGAAATCGCTCCAATTGCAGCTTATGAGGTCCGCAGGAGATGGCCAGGCACATGTTCCCTGATATTCCGACTCAAAGGAACAGTAGGAGACAGGCTAAAATGACGACGCACCAGGTCACAAGGCTGGCTCAATGAAAACCACTCTATTTCACATGTTTGGCTCATTCATTTAGGTGTGGCATTCTGTTCATGTTGTTTGCGTGCTCAACACTCATGAGGCAATGAATGTCACTGCATTGCCAGAACAGCTCTTCCCGATGGCTTTGAACTGGACCGACGGTTCAGGAATTGCCCAGAGTCTTGGCAGAGACAGGCTCCTGTTCGGGGGGGAATTTGGGTGTTGTATATTTGTCACATGTAAATAGAATATGCAACGAAGAGTAACGTTACATTACATGAAACGAGGCGCTTGGTCATTGCCACTTCCCAAGAGAGCGATCGCCAAGCTTGGGCTGTCCAGACCTCAAAAATACACACACCATCACAGACCGACTTAGCCCTTAAGCCCGCCCAATTAATGTTGCATCATTTTGGCCGGTATGCTGCAGGTATGCATTCGAAACCTGTGGTTGCAAGATGGTCCACAACGTGCACAACCCAGTTGTGTCGTTCAGCAGAAAGTTGGCTTCACCTTCACACTTTGTATAGATTAGTGATTTTCATTCTGTTCACCCAGGATCTGCAATCAGCTGGAGCCGATGACTAGCACCTGCTTCATAGGGCAACACGCTGAGATTGCAACCTGTGCCACATTGGACCACTAGAGCAACCGCAAAGGCACTGGCAATTCCACAAGCATCATACACATGAAGAGCAGCTGCAGGTTTGATCAATGGCATGGTTTGGTAATAGACTGTGGTGCTTGTGCTGCTTTTTGGGTCCCTTAGTGATGATGATTGAATGAAAGGGGCTCTTGCGCTTGCTCCGGTGATCAAAGTAGATGCGCCGGCAGCTTGTAAAAAATGTACATCACAGTGCCCGAGAACCGATACTGACACGTGGTGCCAGCACAACATGCCAACCCTTGCAAATCGCGTGTAGGGCCTGGGCTGACGTGGATCAGTGGGTCGGTTCCGAACTCTTATAGAGAGCATGGGCAAGGCACTTCAGAGGCTTTGGACCTGTGCCATGCACAGGCTCCACTAGCTTTCCCTCAACAAGTTTCACTAAGCATTTTCAATGCAAGCAAAAGCCAAAAGCTCGGGGACTGTGGGGAACACCAGCTGAAGATGGGGCTCACTACACAACAGTGCCTGTTAGCGAAACAGTTGCATATTGTCATGGGCCGACTACCTCCCAACTTGATCGACAAGTGTGCTTTGTCTCCATGGATGTCTTTTGCGATGCACTATGTATGTGGCTATGTGTAAGAATCTGCACTCTTCATGCATTCAATAACTTCTTGGAAGGCCCTGATGACGAGGGAGAGGCTGAATTGACCAGTCTGCACCTTGGGTTTGGGCAGGTGCTGGAACTTGAATGCTGAGCTTGACACTCTAATTTGCCTTGGCCAACGTGGGGGGTCTAGGGCTCTCTAAGAGACTAAAACTACTTCGGCCGCTTGCACTGGGCTTTCACAGCGCTCCCAGAATCAGGCTTTGGGCTATTATTATATGCATATATAAGCTGGACAAAAAGGTCGATGTGTGCTCAGGACAGCTTAATGACGAAGAAGATGAAGAAGCGGAGCCAATAGAGGTGCCAACAACCATGGGCATTTTGCGCAACACCGACTAGACGAAAAAAACTCTTGCAGCATCTTCCGGTGGTGGGGACAAAATCGGGATACTGTAACACTGTACTTAGTTTTTTTGTTGTTAACTTGAACTTGGGCTTTTCAAGAATGTTGCCAGCAGCCTTGACCAGGATGGCCCAGATCCTATTCTTGAGCTTCAGGCAGCAGGGTAACTTGTGGAAGTGGCGGAAGGTCATAGAAGATCATGTCCAACCACCCTTAACAATTGCCGTATTGACTATATAATTCTAGCGGCAGCGCAGTGTGGTTGAAAAGACTCGGAAGAAGGTGATATTGATACTGTTTCCCTTGCTGCTATTTGTTCCTTTTTAACTCTGGGATAGAGGTATGGCTTCAGCCACTGCAGGAGCTTGTATTTGAGTGGCTCTTTGCAGGAGAAGATGGCACAGTTCTTGGACCAAAATGAGAAGCTCAAGGGCAAAAATGTCAGATTCTTGGAATTACTGTCACTAGGGGACACGTGCACTTGTGCAGTGCGACGTGCATTTTTGACCCCATATATATACATTATATATATATATACTATATTATATTAAGTAGATTAATGAACGTGCCAAAACTATAAAGGCAAATGACATGTGCGCATGGAAGTGCGTGCCGTTTATGGCCGACTGCTTCTTTGTGCAACATCTATTATTTTTTTGACAGCTAGAAGCGTCACATGACCAGTTCGTGCAACGGGTAGTTGTATATACAGTAGATTGTTTGGAGTACACAACCTGCCCTATGGTGACCATTCTGCTGCCGGGCATCACCCTGAGCTGGCCAGTCCAACGACAAAAACAACAAACAACAAACAATGACACAAAGATGGCACCACCAAACATAACCACAACATGCACGAGGACAAAACAAGACACAACAGACAATGGCACACATAATGGCAACAGCAACACCTGCCAATACATAAGGAGAACGACGCGACAACAGACAACAGAGATTGAAACAACAAATTAAATTTAACCACAACACTTCATATCGGGACAGCTCGACGTTAAGTAGTTTGAGCTAAAGTTGCAGGGGGTCCACAGCCATCAACCTAGAATTCGACAAGCTAGGCAGCCAACGTATCCGGCCGTGAAAGAAGCACACATTACATACATAGAGTTTGATCCCAAATCCATTTCAAGACATGTGCTTTGTGGCTCTGAATCAGCTCGCTGTAATTCTGTGAGCCTGCATCAGAGAACTTGTGGTAAGTGGAGTTTTCTCTCTATGCCAAGAGTCTTGGAGGCTGCCCTACAGCGTGCCTTGATCAATCGACGGGCACAAGACAAGTCCTATGATGCGTCCGAAAAGCAGTGCCACCCTTGGAAGCGAATGGTTTACTCTCACCGGGGTTTGATGCGGGTCCAAATACATGCACTCGCATTTGAGAATCAAGAGCCGGTGCTTATGTGCAAGGTCAGAGGGCAAAGTGACCGAGCACAAATACCAAAATGCCGATGCCTTGGTTTGCCGTTTGTACTTTGAAAGATTCATTCAAAGTCAATCGCTTTTGTAGTCTTCCTATGGGCTTAGATGGAGTAACGTATTTGTGCAGCATGGTCCCAGTTGACAAGAACATACAAGAAACAATAAGAAACATCTAGAAACTGCGCTCTGAGCGGACATTTGTCAGATGCTCAACAACGTGCACTCTGAGCGGATGAAGCTGCGCTTACAGCAAGTGATGGCTGTCCACACCTCGATGAGAAACGAATCAAGATCGGATGTTCCATGGTGCGGTTGGGAGACTTGCTGAGACCGGCCAATTCGCTGTTGTGCCGGTTGTATCAATGTCCAGCCTTCGGCCAAAGTCTTAAGCACGGCAAGTGGAGAAGCTGAGGCTCGAATGAGCGATGAGCTCAAGCGGGGACCTCGTTGGGCTGGGATGGCTCGGGCAAGTTGCCTTCGAGGTTGTTCTGTTTATGACTGTTTGTTTGTTTATGCATCGCGGAGTCCCTGAGACACAACAGACACAGACAGCTTATGCCATGTGAACAAGACGAATCAGGGAAACAGCTAGGTTTGATATGTTTCGATTTGTAGGAGCTGCTTTCAAAGCTGCTGAAGCCAGATGATCCACTTCAAAATGCTCGCAAGGAACCAACTGGAAGCAAAGCGACAAAAGGCCATTGAGTCGGGCGCCAAGGTGTGCAAAGCATTATAAATAGATGTATATATATATACATATAACTTCAACCAACGCCAACATGTAGTGCAGAAACTAATGATTCACTCTCCAGTGGAATATTTGGTTAGTAGCCGACTGACATGAATCTGGTGCTTCTTTTGAACTACTTTATGTAATTGTGTTTTTGGGATTTGGGGTCGACCAGCTTTGCCACGCTTGGCTGGGGTTGTTGACGAGAGGTTTTGCCCCGACAGTGTTGAGGATTGGGGGGGATCTTGAACAGGAATTTGGAAGTTCTAGGGTGGGGTTGTGGCGAAATGTGCTGGGCACCGTAATATGACTATGGATGTCCATGTGCATACCATAGTCACTGTAGTCAAATCCTGAATTGAGTCACACCCAACTGATCAACTGTGTGATGAGTGCTTGGCCTTATTTGCTGCATTGCTTGGGCTGGCATGTGTTTTTCTACGTTTGGCTTAAGGTGCCGGGACTCCTTCCAGGAATTCAAGAGACAGATTGCCAGACATGCGGAATATGCACGTGCTTGCCTCGAGCAGTGTTTGCACAATTGCCTTGTGGTTTCAATCAAAAAGTATTGAAATAAAAAAACGTATTGACTAGGCACTGGCAAGAAGATCCAGGAAAAGATCATTCAGGACCTTTGCCTCTTACCAGGAACAAGAAGCTACTAGTAGCTCCTGGCATCGCTACTAGGAACCCGGGTATCGCTACTAGGAGCAAGGACCCTACTATATAGTAGGACCTTTGCCTTGTGCCTGTTCGGAGTGGAGTTTTGGAGCATCTAGAGTCTCCATAGAACGCCATACAGTGTGACGGGCTCGTCATCGCGAGAAATCAAGAACAACTGGGGTGGCGAAGCACAACTGGGTTTGCTGGAGGAAGTTGAGGAGTTTGAGCTTGACAAAGACGCAGAGGCGTTGAAATGGAACGAACTATCCAAGTTTGCTTTCACTTAACTTATGACGCATGACAGCAGTCAGTAGGAGTTTCATTTCAGTTAGTTTATGTCTATGTTGATCCGTTCTAAGTTTTAAGCCAAGCATGTTCCAATGATCTCCAATGAAGCCTCTAAATATTACATATATATATATATATGATTATGCAAATCTGCAGGTTGAAGAAGTCCGAGGCTCAAACATCTCATTGAAGCTGCTCGGCCACAACTTTGTGCGATGTGATTGCTTATATTGCGCAAGGCGTGTAAATGATTGGACATTTCAGTCCGTCATCAGCGGTGTGACTGACTTGACAACTGTCACCTGTGTCCAGGATTTTGGCCTTTCACAGATTGACAGATTCATTGGTTCATGTATTGGCTGCAGCACATCAGGAACCGCCTTGCGAAGCTGGAGCAAGCACTTCGGAACAAAGATGAGCCAGTGAACCTAGAGTTCGTGTGTCCGTGAAAGCAGAACCAGAAGATCGGTACTTTCCAAAATGCATGCCTTGACAAGGCTTGCAGAAAACCTGCATGTCATCGACTTCGAACAACTCAAAATTGAGAACCAACAGCTCAATGTCCGGCGGCCCTGTGGATATGCACTTCAGGTTTCAAACTTGTTCAATTCAGTGCAGGCTTGCATGGCAGTTTGTTGACCATGTAAGTGACCATGTATTGCAGTTCAGTCTTCAAAACTGAATTCATTGCAGATTATATAGGCTGTTGTGCCTTCGGCTTTGTGTCCTTTTTGACTCTTCACGCTGCAAATGCAAAGCAAGCATTCTATTGATTCACGCATCACGCTGGAGCGCTAGCCATGAGCAAAAGTGAGCAAAGATCAGCGAAGATCAAAGGAACTGATTGCACATTCACAAGAATCGACACAGACATACACAGACAAGATACTGCACATTACCATATCAAACACCGGCCCCATGAGTCACAACACTCCGCATCACCGAAACAATATCACTCGCATTCACTCGCCAGAGACCACCATTTCGACACACTTGTAATTGTCATCTCCCTTTGATGCGTTGATTTGGAACATGCACTTGGTCTGAGGAAAAGATTGAGGAACGAAATGAAGAGCTTCACAAGCCCATGCCTCAGACAGCAGACCGGACCGGAATTGGGAGGAGCGGAGCGGAGCGGTGCTCGCAGTGCATTAATCGTGATGCAATCGGGACTCGGACTTATGCGTTGTGTATCAGCCCGACATCGTCCAATTTCTCGCGACCAGGTTGCGAAAGAAGACAATAGTGACAGTGCAGATCATCACGCACATGAGGGAGAAGGCGCTGCAACAGTGCCTTCAGTCTTGTTGCATTATTTACATGTCTACTTCCTGGCTGACAGGTGCAATTTGTGCAGAAGGAATATCAGATCCTCAAGGAGGAGCTGGCACAGCCTGATGCCCAAGCACCATGAATCACCCAGGTGTTTGAGATGGAGATACACAGATTATATTTGGATGCATGATTCTGCATGATCTACTTGGCTGTTGAGAACTGCACAGTTTTTTTTAATTGAATTTTAAATAAAGATTTAAAGCTGACACACGTGCAGCTGCAAGCTTAAGGCTGGACCAAGACCTTGGTGCTCAGCGAGACTTGGTGACAAAAACCAAGCACGAGCGAGATGAGCACAGGCACTTTCGTAGCATGAGCGTGCTATACTGCTACAGTGCCTAAAGTGCTGGGCTTGATTTGAAACGGCTGAAGGTTCTATCACAGACAGTTGGGTCGGTCAATCTTTCTTTGCGTGCATTCGCAGGCAAGAGTATGCTTCCTTGAAGCAGCAAACTGGCATCATGAACTCTGAGCATTTGACCAAGGACTTCAAGGACGCGGGACGCTTTAAGTGCATATGGGATGGATACTACCGTCCACGGATGTTTATGGTCACACCTACTGTTTTGAGACTTCAAACTGCTGTACCGCAGCGTATAGCTCAAGCAAATTGCATTCTGAGAGTCCGAAGATTCAACTCATGGAGTTGTTCTGCGTGTGTGACATACCTGGTTCGATCATGATCATGCTTTGGAAGCATAATCCATCTCAACTCATCCGTGCAGCCGCTGATGCTCGTATGACCTCCCAGTTTGCGTTTGTATCCACCCCTTCATTTTTGACGATTTCACCATTGTGCCAGTTGACCTCACGTCAACTAAACCATTCACGAAGAATTTGCCCTTGCCCACTTTGGCTACGGAGTCTCACTCCATACCGACCTGAGACACACGTGGCTTCTATTGTGAGCCTTGCCGCTGCCTTAGTGGCTGGAAGTCGTCGCAGTGCCCGATCACGCTTGGATGCAAGCTGTACAAAGCAGCAAGCCGAGCAAAAGCGACGCTTGAGCCGCATTGGCAACAATGTTTTGCGTATGCAACACAATCCCCCTTTCGTACAGACACAGAATGAAATATGATGAATTAATACAAAACATACTTGTATGACTGATGACTATTACACTATCGTGCTTTGTGCGGACACTTGTTGTATGATGTGTATTCAATTCATATTTGTTTGATAATATATATGTATATATATATATTTGTTTCCGTCAAACCCTCATAGTTTGCTGCACTCTAAGTAGGAGAGTGCAGAGTAGCTCAAGGTGTTGTGTGTGATCGATCGGGGAGTTTGAGGCAACGGGCCCTGCTGGCCGGAACCCAGAGAGATTGTTGAGGTGAACTGGGACGAAGTGTGGTGGCTTTGTGATGTGCTTGACGCTTTTCGGCCGAAGCATGCCAAAGCATTGCCTCAAAAATGACATCGTTTGGTCGTACTGACAATGACACACACACACACACGCACACATTTCCTGACAATACAAGTTGAATATAAATTTAAACATTTAAACGTTCGAGAATCATCGCTTTTGAATTTTCTGCTTATTCCTGAATGCTGCTGTTCCAAGATGTTGTAAGGTTCATGGTGATCGATGCACTGTGAAGTATCACGACGGAGGAGACGTAGAGGAATCTGTGGAGGTCGCCTGCAGGGTCCGCAGGCCAAAAGACCGAGTCGTACCTTGGCTGACATTTTCAGTGGTTTTGACAAAGTCGTTTGGGTTGTATGTATATATTATTATATATTGGTGAACTAATTATCCTGAACCAATGAAATGAGATGAACAAAGGTGTATGAAGACACACTCGTGGAAGCATATTGTGATGGGCTTTGGCGTCCAGGACATGTCCGACAGGTGGATAGGCAGCTTAAGACATGCGTGGTGGACTTCAAGGACGACTGTTTCTTGGTACTTACAATGTTTGTTTTCCTGAGATTGGGTTAGCTGTTGACCATCAGATATTTACTAGATTCTTATTTTATATCGGAGTGAAGAGACTTTGGTTTGGCAAGATGTTTATAGTCTGTCGTATGTAGGAATGTAGGAAAGAGTTTCCTTGAGAATATAACAGGTTGAGTTTGTCAAATGATAATGTTCAGCAAGTTTAGCACAAAGGACGGCAGTTGTGTACAATGATTTAGTGCTTCGTTATCAGTCAAGGTGATGAGAACGAGGTTGTGCCATTCTGCCAGATTCGACCAGCGCAGCCCCAAAGGGAGGGGCAGTTCATGGAAGCTTTTCATGACTATGACTGGCGTGAATGCGAGGTGATCGAAGTATCGGGCGGTCGCAGCAAGGTCCGTTTCTTAGATGGAGAAGAACGGGAGGTCACCCAGGTACGGGAACCTGCGGTCCCTTTATACATGCTGTATGTCGGTCAAGGATGCGAGGGCATCGTGACAAGAATCAATCCAGACGGAGAAGCATTTGTGGATATTGGAGCAGAGACATGTGGCCAAATTCCTGGTCGCCTTTTGGGTTCAGGTGCTTTCATGCGGAAAACGATTGATTTGGGGCAGATGATCGATGTTTGGATTTCTGGTGTGGACGCCGGCAAGCAAAGGCTCTTGCTCACTCCATGGAAGGGCTGCGCTCATCTCGCGGAAGAGGTTTCGTCTCGGCAACAGCGCTTTCGGAATTATATACTGCAAAGAGAGCCTCAATCGCTCCGAACAGCGCCCCAGACGAAAAAGAAAGGATATGAAAGCAAAAAGGTGTGATGCTGGTCTTCCCAAGCATCACATAATGTAGACTGTTGATTTCTATTCCCTCCTTTATGGACATGTAAAACCATTCCAACTTTTTTTAAATTAATCAACAGTCTACATTAGGGGATGTTTCACGATGGTTGTGGGCACAGCTTGTTAATTGAATCGGTGTGCTGTAAGGATTGAGCAACCTTTGGTTCCAGCATTTTCACGAACACGCATGTTCACTTCTTGTATGTACTTTATTGTTTTTATTGCTGCTGCGAGGACAGAGCGGAAAGGATCAAAGAGCTCAAGGAGCCAGCCTTGTGTGCAGATTGGATGAAGCTTTTCTTACACACATTGAACCATTGGATGCGAGATATGATTCGTTTAGCCTGTGTGAGCCAGTTGTCATTGCAGGAGCTGATCACACAACTGAAGAAACGGCATAGCCAAATGTCACAGTACGGCCCTTATCGGTCTGAGTCCCCGCATTTCTGCCATGAACATTGCAGAATCCCCACACTCACAGACTCAAATGCAAGCGTGTTCATGCCGAATGTGCAAAGATATTATACTACTGAATGAAATTGTCTATATTATTACGGAAGCCCGCCGATAGGCTAGGCTGAAGTGCTTGATGGGCGAACGAAGCGAGCATTCGGGGTGTGCGGGGGGGGGGATGGTGTGGGTGGTTCAACATGCACCTCTATAAGGGCCTTGGTTCAACAGTGCATTTTTTGCATCACCAAGTGGCCATGGCACCATTCAAGTGGACAGCAGGATGTCCAGTTGTGTGCATGGAGCGGTGCAGGCGCGTGGCTTTAAGATGTCGAAAGACGATTTTTGCTCAGCTGTAAAGACGGCAGCCTGCAGGCAAGCGTGTCACCACCATAAAGACTTCCCCCAGAAGGCAATGCGTGGTATCAGCGAAGGGCCGAAAAGGCTATGTGTGGTGGTGCCCTTGTTGATCGCTTTGTCAATGTTTTGGGCTGTGGGGAAGAAAAAGGGCACCCGCAAAGGAGCACCATTTTCAGGATCTAGCCGGGTCCTCCCGAAGCAACTGTAAGACATTGTAAGACTATCTGACTATCTTTGCCTTGCTGTAAAGACAATCTGCCTTTGCAAACCGAGTACGTAGAAGAGCCGCGTGGGGGGCCACCGCACTCCACAGGCTACATTGGGTTTCCCTCCCCTTAACGTTCCTATAGTCCTGGGACAAGACTTGGATTGCAACGTTGCCCGGGCCCAAATGGCAACTGCACTCCATTGGACTGAAAGAATGCTATGATGCGTGCACGTGAGCATTTCTTACCTCAAAGGTAAGTCCTTGGAGGGTTTTCATAATTTTTGCTGGCAGCAAGGAGTACATTCTGAGCAAGCCTTCTGCACTTTGAATCACTTTGAACAGTTTTTTCAAAGCTGGCAGACCGGTCTCAAGCACCGAGGTTCATCAAATCCCACGGCGGTGTGATCTGAGAGCACCAGATGGCATTTTTTCCCGACCCCAGACGGGAACATGTTTGTCCGTGACAGCATGCATTCAACAAAATACAGTTGGAATGTATCATCATCCCACTCCTTGTTTGTGGGTGAGTACAGTAATTAAGTTAAAAAGAGCAGGCAACTGGAGTGCATATGTCCACTTTCGCTACGTTGTCTCACCGTTTCGAGCTGGGAGTGCAACAGTGGACGTGTTCATCGACCGAAGTTCAAGTGAAGGAGAGTTTACAAATGTTTACAACATCTTACAACATCTCCCAGCACAGGTGATAATGTAAGTATTGTAAGCATGTGGTCGATTGCAGAGGTTGGCATGATGCAACAGATGTGCTTTCTGACCTCAAGCATGTCACTGCTCAAGATGTGGATTCACGCTGGGCAGAGCCGTTTCACCCCGCTGCTCTCCGGTCAAAAAAAATATGTTTAAAGTTGACCTTTTGCGAGTCATATCAAGTCTCTGTACGGGCGCTGCGGCAAGTTGGAAGAGCATGGGCCCAAATATATAGTGGGATTGCAAAACAAAAAGGCTTGGTTTGGGACTGCTGCTGCCAACTCACACTGTTTTTTTTTCATGTTGTTTCCTACTGGACTTGGCTCGCTCAAAAGCTTAGCTCTTTAATTGACAGTCCTTCCCCCCTGTTTAGGCACGGATGTGTTTACAAAAGGCTGCTTCAGAAGTTCTTTGCATTGAATTGTTGCGGTGTTGAACTGTTAAAACCCGTGAACAATTTCTAGTCGCCATGGCACAGCTGGATGGTTTTGTGTGGAAGCTTGGGAGTGCTGTTCCGATAACTGTTGACGGTTGTCAATTGTGCAGTCGCAGCACACACACATGGCATATATAGTATGCAAAGTTAAACGGTGTGTGAATATTCTTCGTAGCATAGTGGCTTAGTCTGGTTGGTGGGTGGATGCTGCTTCTGAGGTCACACCGCCAAAACCAGTGGCTCTTGTTCCAAGGTGACTTGATGGCATCTGCTCAGAACTTGGATTTCTGGCATGTTTTCATAACGTTGTCCACTTCTTGTATTTATTCACAATAGCCCAGCTTTTGGTGCCCAAGATGATTGTCTTAGAGAAAGACAGTTTGTTGATGTTTGAGTCTTGCGTTTGTCCCCTTACCTGTAACAGTCGGTAAACAATCACCGTATTTTAGAGAACAGCTTTTACTAACCATCATTTTCTACTAATAATAGGATGCATGTCTATTGTGCTTCAGGCATCGCCTCTCTTCCCTTGTGCCGGCGGTCAGTGTTTCCACTAACAATGATGGCTATCTTCCAGATGCAGTGTTGGGGCCTCAAGATGCGTTTATTCCATCAGGGCATCAGTGATTCATCATGAGTCATGTCATTTGACAGATGGTTTCATTGCCCGGAGGCCATTCATGAGCATGCAGTGCTTGATGATGTCTTGACATTGTGTGGTGTTGTTTAGCCAATGGCTCGGCAATAGATATAAACTGCACAATGCCAAGGCTTGCATCAAACGAAGCAAGTCTAGAGTCACATCATAGCACTGCACTTCAAAGCAAAGTGTTCCTTGATTGAAGCTGCACAACCTGGATGCACTAAAACATACAAAGAACATCAAGCAACAGCCAAAGCGCGGCAAGCGGATCGATGCCGCTTTGGGCTGTGATTCTGGGATGGTTTTTTTGGCTGTTCTGGCTTGCTGGTACTCAACGCTCAGCAGGCCAATCGTCCACCCAGGCATCCGAGCACGTGGTCAGAACTTCCACTTACTTACATACATCGTTTCTTTGATTATGTGACAGCTGCATGATTCTGCATGCTCCATGTTCAGAGGCTTCGGATCCATCACGTTGACCAACAGACTGGACTCACCTGGACTAGTGGCCTTGGTGCCGGTGACAGTCCAGCTTATGATGATGATGCTCGGCTATTTAAGTGTTTGTTCATCTATGTGTTTATCTATTATTTACTTGTTTGTTTACCTATTTATTATATGTATTAATGTCCACCTCTGATTGAAAAAATAGGCTCCCGTTCATGAGTGACCTCAAATAGTCTTAACCAGCGCTTTAGTATTGGTAGTATTGGCCTTACTATGGAAGAAAGGAACCTATAGAAGAAAGGAATCTACGGAAAGGAATCCATATTAAAAGGAAGACATCCATCACCTCAGCGGGACTCATATACTATATGGACATTTTTTTCTGCCAGCAAGAACCTTTATCTTTATTTAGGGTAGACTTTATTCAGGGTGGGTTTGGAATACGGAGTTTATATACTGTATAATATATAATTTTGATCAGAAGGTTTGGGGTTTGGTGAGTCCAAGTGATAAAACTAAGAGGCAAGGATGCAAGAACGAATCCAAAGAAGGAACCCGTTATATACAGTAATGAATAAAGAATTGAAAGGCACAAACCAAACTAAAGCTAAAGGACAAGAGTCTTTTTCAAGACTTTTGCTTAAAGGCTGGGATATCTAGGTCCAGGGGCAAAAACAACATTTAGCTTAATTCAGGTATATTCAGGTGTATTTTACTAATTGGTTTTAGGGGTTTGCTTAGCTTTATTTACACCTGCGGATTGTTCCGCCGGCCCTTTTGGCCGCAGCGAGAAAGCCAACTTAGGGGGGGGGGGGGGGGGGGTCAGGTTAGACCGTTCAAAAATCCGCCCGGGGGAGCACTAAAACAGACAAGACATAGCTCAACAAAGAACTAACAAAAAACCAACTACCCAAAACACGCCGTGCCCCAGGGCCGGCGGATTACTACTTTCATAGGTCGACATTGGATTAATCATAGGTCAACATTACCACTTTCTTCAGCAAGATCCTACACGAAGGTCCAACTCCAACTGGAATGCCCGAGAGTAAAGAGCCAAGTTCATCAGCCATAATCGCAACATAATATTTGCAGTTTCCGGTTGTTTCCATTTCACTGGAGGACCCCAAGTCACGAAAGCTAGCTGTAGCTAGCTGGGGAGCCGAGGACCTGAGTGCAGATACCTGATTTATCAGGCTTTAACCCCCCCGCCGCGGGTTCAACTCCACCCTTCTCCTCAGTACCTGCTGCTGCTTGGTCTCTTGCTGCTTGCATGCTTGGTGCTGTTGATTGCCTTTGGCTGCTTCCTGGTTGCTGCTGACGTGTTGGGGCATGAGCGAAGAGTTCGGTGGGGGGAAGCGGGTGATGAAGAGTTTGGTGATGTTTGGTGGAAGCATGGCAGTAGTTGAGTTTTCCCTTTGTGCATCTTATATTAACTATACTATTGTCACGCTGCCCCAACTCGTGTCATGGTACGGTTGATGCCATTCATGCGGTTCAGGGTTGCTGCACTTGTTGCAACGCAACACTGCTGCTGCTGCTGCCTTTGCTGCTGCTGCTGCCTTTGCTGCTGCTGCCTTTGCTGCTGCTGCCTTTGCTGCTGCTGCCTTTGCTGCTGCTGCCTTTGCTGCTGCTGCTGCTTTGCTGCTGCTTTGCTGCTGCTTTGCTGCTGCTTTGCTGCTGCTTTGCTGCTGCTGCTGCTGCTGCTTTGCTGCCGCTGCTTTGCTGTTGCTGCTTTGCTGCTGCTGCTTTGCTGCTGCTGCTTTGCTGCTGCTG